AAAGTCCTAACAACGAGTTAATATGAAAACACAGGCAGTCACAATTATTAAATTAGCATGTGTGAGGAGTATAATGGCCCTTCTAAGTAATGGAGTCACTCTGTTTAATGGCTATCAATTAAACAAATGGAGCCCAAAGCACCAACAGGTATTTGGTGTCAGCGCTGCCCCCCCGGTGTGTGCACACACTTCTGCTCACACGGGCAACTCCAGGCAGGGGGAGCAAAGATGCACTCAAAGCACCAAGTGGCTGCTGAGGCAAACACAAGAAGCACTTAACTTCTGATCCCCGGGTAATTAAATTGATTAGAAATGCAGACTTGCCGCTTCTCAAGCCTGCAGTGACCCAGGAAGGACCTCCCAGTCAGTGCAAGTCAGGCACCCTCGTGCCTTCGGGTGGTGGGGTCAGTGCTACAGGCAGCATTTTTTCCTTTCTGTGTGTTCTTTGATAAACAATATATGCAAGCCTAATTCTGCTCAGACTATGACAAAGCTGTTTGACAGTGTTTGCTTTCTAGAAACGTGGTTGCTGCTTTTTGTCAGCAAAATAAAGCTATGTGGGGAATCTACTTTTCCCGGTAAAGAAAAAGCTGTAGTGGATACAGAGTGAAGAGGGGCACTCTAAATACAAAAGAAAAATGGAAATTACGCAAACAGCATGACTGAAGGAGAATGAGGAAGAAGTGCAGGGCAAGCTTATACTGGATATGTAAAAAAATGGCAACACATGTATCACTGGTGATGTAAAAAAATAATCACCAGCCTCTGCTCTCACACACTGCAGTTCTCCAAGCTGGAATGTACTAATTTCAGTGCCAGTTGTCATGGTCCCTGTCCCTTCCATAGGGACATAGTGGGCTCTCAGGTCTAGGAGTGATCAAGTGTTGCAGTTTTAACCAGTTGAATTAGGCAGGTGTTTGATTTATTCTCCACAGGAAAACTTTTCCTGTAATATTTTTCCTTCCACTAAACCAGGTTGCTCAGATCTCCATTCAGCCTGGCCTTGAACACTTGCCACAGCTTCTCTGGGCAACCTGTGCCAAGGTCTCACCATCCTCACAGGGAAGAATTTCTTCCCAATATTCAATCTAAACCTATTTTGTCAGAGGTTTCAGGGCCTGACATTCAACCCTTTCATAACTCAAAATCTCTCAGAGCCATTGCCTTGATACTGTCAGTGGTACATTTTGACTTAATCTTCCCATTTATTAAGAAAAAAAAAAAAGAGTTAAGAACCTATAAACTGTTTTATTTCTAATGTGGTTTTATAGCTCCAGCTTGTATTCCTCACTCCCTGACATTTTGCAAGTCATATGGTGTTTCCTCAGGGAAAGTAAATCAGCTGCTCTCCTGAAGTGCAAGCTTCCTAATACACACCAAAAAAGTGCTTTGTTTGAGAGGAAAAGTACTGTACAGTTGTTATGGCAACTGGATTTTAAAAGGCAGTGCATAGTTTTGAGGGGCATCTGCTTAATTCCAAAACAAAGTCTTCACCCCAGCTGCCCTGGAAGGAATGATTTTACATCAGTCTCTCCCAGGTGCAGAGTGACTTCCAGCCGAGCAGCTCAGCACGGCTCCCACTGGCTCCTCGGGAAGATGATCCCTGGATTTCAGCTGGAAGAGTCACTGTTTATGAGCCACAAGAATCCTCACTTGGGTCTCAGTTCTGTGACACAAAGGGTCAATAATTGCAAGTCTGGCTGAGGCAGCGGGGGTTGGAAAATTTAATAGTGCCTGGCAGAACCAGACTGTTCTCTCTCCTTCCTGGGCAGACATACAGGAATAAGTTTCAGTGCAGGTATACAGTCCTGTACAAATAAGGAAAAAGCATAAATAGAAATCCACCTGGCATTGGATGTGTGTGACAGGGGCTGGAAATTGCAATGCTGATTGTGGTTGTCACCGTGCTGTCAGAATCTGCCAAAGAAACTTTAATCTGAAGCTGTGAACTAGGAATTGAAGTTCTTTCGTGTTTTTAAGTAGGTCTCTAGTGCTTGGATCACCTATAATTGGCAACATTGGCTTGCAGTGGTCATCACTGTGTGTAGGTTTATGAATTTTCAACATTATACAGATGAAGTTTTTGGGGTTTTTTTTTGGAAATGTGCATCACTGCGTATGAAACATATAAATGCATAAAGACAAAATTACAAATGAAAAATATTCGTGTTAGTGAGCATCTATTACAAGACTAATGGCTTTGTATGGGAAAAACATTGTCAGCCAAGTAACAAAAATGTCATCCAAGGACTCAGAACGGCAGCTACAGACTCATGATTCCCAAACTTACAGGGGATACACAGATGTACTAAGTGGTTCTTCCAAAGGGGCACTCACCGTCAGGCACAGACTGGAGTAAAATAAAACAGACAAAGGAACTGAACATCCCAAGAGTCACACAACAGATTAAATTCAACAATAATCAACTAACTTCTGAAAGCTAACTCTTTTAGTGAATGAGATCCAAAAATACAAATCCTTCTGTATCTTGGCACAACACAAATGGTTGAAATACTGTGTAACAACAATCAGAAGAAGAAAAACTAAGTCTGGAATCAAGATTTCAAAATAAGAGACCTTTGATGATGCATTACATTGCAGCTGCTAAAACTACAGATGCTTCTCAGCAGGTATTGTAAGTGCAAAATTTGTGGCTTGCATTCAAAAATCTAAAAGTCCTACAAACGTACAAGTGATTAACTGCAGCAAAGCATTGGTGTTTGTACTGGGAAAAATAATAGAGAATCAACAGGTCTGAATAAGCCCTCTAGAAGGGATTACTTATGTGGCTACTCCAGGCACTTTTCACTCCTTTTTAAGGCTGTCTTTCTGTTTTCAAGGCTGTTTTGATAGATGGGCATCAGAGGTGTCTGTTTACACACCTCAGCAGCGTGTACCTTTAAACACCTCTAAATTATAGGTCGTTTATAGCTCCTGCCAACTCCCTGCACCTGCACTGAGCCCAGCCAGACTCACAGAAGGAGCAATTGTACCTTCACAGATGCATCTTAACATTAAAGTCCTTTTCATCGACACGACCCTGGAGCCTTGTCCAGACAAGCTCACTTGAGCTTTACCCAGATGGTGGCCATTTGCTTGGGCTTCATTTATTCCTATTCCCTGGATTCCCTGGAGCTGGGGCAGGCAGCCAGCTGGCAGAGCCTCGCAGACTTTTGCTGCAGAGATTACACGTCTTCATCACGGCACAGCAGAGAAAGGAATGACAGTTCTAAACCTGCCAGTGTTTGCATCATTTTCCTGCTTAACTTACTGTGTACAAGCTTGTTTTGTGCCTGAAATTAATATGTGTGTACATTCATAAACAGTCAGGAAAGAACTGCTGCAAGAGCAGGAAGGAGCTGCCCTGAATTAACAGGATGCAGGTGTTGCCATCTAAGCCTAAAATCTAAAATCAAAATCAAAACTCTGCAAGAAACTAGTGCAGGATAAAAGTATCAGATGGGAATGATATGAAGAAATAATCAAATCTTTCATCAGATTCTTGTTCTAATTACCTAAGCAAATTAATAAGAAGTTTTTTCATTTTAAATATTTTACTAGTAGTAAATAGATGAATGAAAGCTACAAAGCTACAAGCAAGAGTTTTTATTTAAAACTTCACAAGGTGCAATATTCTGTGTGTTAGCAGGGATGCAGGACAAACAGGCAGTGCTGTAACATGAAACTGAGACATTTCAAGTTGGAAATTTTTACCAGTGTGTAATTTCAACTGTATATATCACCTTCTGCAATACAGGACCTATATCCCTAAAAGATTTATAGGTATGCCATTCACTAAATGTTATTAGTACAACATGCTGAGTTCACTGTCACCACACAATTGCATTACTATCCTGGCTCTTTCCTTAAGATAACACTTGTTATATGTACAACCCACTGAGCTATGGCCAGGTTTGTAATAAAATAATAATAATAAAAATAATAATAATCACCGACTTAAAACTCACATCTAAAGACAACTTAAATATTACACCAGGCATACACTAACAAATATAACACACATCTGGTAGGTTGTAATGCCCTGGTGTGGAGTGTTGAGTTAAAATTTATACAAAGCAGAGCAGTGGTGGTGAAGTTCCTTGTTTATGACACTAAACAATATAGAATAAAACTGTATTCCACAGGCAGCAGCCAATGCATATTCAAGAATCCAGCATTAAAAGAAATATAACCTTTCTATTCCATCAACATTAACCATAGCAGTAATAAAAACAATGATCTCGTTCCCAATTTACTAATTTTCAAGTAGCCAATGCATTAAACCATTAAATATCACTGGCTTTTCCCATGGATCTGACAGAGAACAACTTCTCTATTTTCAGACAGCTCCTGAGCTTTTGAAAGTGTATAATTTCATACTTAAGGAGGGCAAGTCCCCAACAGGCTTCGTATTTACTGTGAAAGTCCAACTTTTCTAGTGAAAAATTTAGGTTTTGAGATCTTTCTTTTTTTTTTTTTTCCCTAGAAAAAAGAAACACCTGTCTATAAATCCACATCCAGAGTTTTATTAAACACAAAACACTTGACCCAGCAAGATTTCCAATCACTCCCAGGTACAGATTACACCCCAAAGCAGAGCTCTAACTTTAAATATTAACAAGCAGCAGGACGAGAAGCACCTGCCTCCCACAAAACAGCAGCACATCACTCTCACAGGGACAGGTGCATCCCATCCCTGCCAGATTGCACTCTGCACTTATCTGGAGCACCTGGGGATGTTTTCTCTCAGCAGTTTCTCCTGGGAAAGTGAGGAAATACCTTCAGCCAGGAAGGTTGTGGGCTGTGTAACCTTGGCAGAGGTGTGAGAGCCACGGCACAAAGAGCTGCCCTGGGTGGGCACCTGCCTGAGGGGGGGAGACAAAGCTGCTGCATTTCCTGGCCACTGTTTAAAACAGCTCAGGAAAGGGGGAGAAAACCCCCTTGGTGACCCCCTCCTGTGGTGCTGGTGCAGTTGGAGCAGTTACCTCACAGAGCTCTCTCTGGAACCTTCTGGAAGGTACAGGCTGGGGTGGGCAGGAGGTCCCTCAGCTCATCTCAGCACCTTGTCCTGGGAATGCGTGTCCAGACTGCAGGTCAGTGACGGGGATGGCTCCAGGCCCCCCCCAGGGGGGGAAGCACACCTTGATTTAGCTCTTCACTGGTCTGGTGATGAGGTCTGGGGTTTCTTTGGTTGGGTTTTTTGGGGGAAGGAGGTGTCCCTTGTGGTTGATGCCATGGAAATTCCTGACTGTGGCAGTGCTGGCCCTGCCTTGCCCCTGGTAACACCATGTTCCCTCCTTGGAGAAGCGCTGCTGTGCGCCTGTCCTGACTGAGCTGGTGTTGGAAAAGTTATGCTTCCAAGTGATCTTACCATGGTGTTTAAACACACTTTTCAAAGACTGTTCCTGCTGTGTTTGTAGTTGACTGTGCATTTTAAAGCTGACTTTATTAGCTGTGTCTGTGTGCTTTGGGCAGGTGTTAAAATTCAGCCTTGTCTGTGCTGAAGTTGGCATTTGTTGCAGATAAAGCTCCTGGTCCTTCCCTGTCAGGGAACTTGTTTTTTGCTTTTGTTGCCTGCTGAAGTCATGGTGGTTTCTGTCAACTTTAGGGACTGTTAAAGTCAAGCATATGTTTAAATTCTTCACAGAACCCATGTGCTTTACTGAACTGGTGATGGGTTTTTCAGCAGCTTTTCACTTGGTCCATCAGTGTAAACACTCAGTAACTCTCTTTCATCAGTAATAGAAGCTGCACTAAAATATTTGTCACAGAGATACTGAAAAACATACAATTGTGTATTTTGTTTGGTCTCCTGCCTGTAAATGTGCATTAAGGATGCCTGGAACTGGTCAGCTGCAGCTCTTCTTTTCCACATCCCCTCTGACAATGTTGGGAAATGTTTGTTTTCTCATGTTATTTGTTTTTGGTTTTGGTTTTTTTTTTTTTTTTACACCTGTTTAGGAACTCTGGGTTCCTCTTTCCTTTCAGCTCTCATCAGATTTACTCAATATGTGTATTCTTGTACCTAATGAGTTTCAGAGCAATGCACATGTTCAGCATCTCAAATAGTCCTTGTTTCCACAAACAAAAATTGATTTCCCTTTTCTCATTTTTTTTCCTGAATCATCTTGACCCCACCTGGTACCAGAAGTGAAACTTCTTGATAAGAGCAAGGACTTAATAGGCTCCTGATCTAATCTTTGCTGTGAATCCCTTTAGTACTAGGGGAGGTTTTTGTTGGGTTAGTTGACTTTTGGTGTGTTTTTTTTTTTTCTTTCATTTCCTGAGCTTCTGTTGCAGGAACAATTCTGCTGTAGGGGAAAAGATATGTCTTGATAGATTTATTTCTGGGTCTTCTGCAGTCCCTACCTCACTCTCCCCAGCTTGGGACATGTGGGGAGGTTGGTTTGTCAATATTGCATCGTCCCAATGTCTGTCTGTGAGACCTTCCCCCCTGTTTTTAATTAGCAGAGTGTTGCCATTACTGCTTTGGCTTGTGTTTATTCATTTATTTATTAATTAAGTTTTCCTAAACTTTTCCTGGTGGCTTTCTAGGTTATAGAACATGGGCCTTCAGCAGTAGGTCCGGGATCCACGCAGTCCTGGACAACACACAAAAGCAGTCCTTGCAGAATCTATTCAAGGGGATTTTCTTAATAGAAAAAATTGAACCCATGAAGTGGCTGCAAAGAGCAAAATATGAAGTTATTTTTTTTAGATTTACCACAAAGAAATAAGGCCCTTGTTTGTGGTTTATAGTATTATTGTAATTCTAAATTTCTGTCAGTTATATGTAACTGGGGGAATCTAATTTGTTTTATTTTAGTTTAACAAATCACACATGGATTGACAATTAGTTTGTGACTTCAGATAATAAATTCAGTACATTAGCACTTTTCCCATGAGCATTATTTTTTTAAGGATTAGGACTGCAGAACTTACATTTTTAAAACAAACATTTGCCAAAGAGTTAAAGTAAATAACGAAATCCCCCAGACTGAAAATCACTTATTTTGACTCTTAATCATAAATTACTTTTCTTGAAGTTAGGAAGCACTAATAAAAACACTTATTCTTCACAGATATACCTTAAAGGAAAAGTTCATTATAAGTACAAGTCATAAAGGGCCAGTACCTCCATTCTGGTTTTAAGGATGGGGAGCAGTTCTTGGCACTATTTTCACCTATGCCTGCTGATGCTTTTCCTGTGAGGAGCTGGATGTGCTCGTTGGTTTTAGCAGTATGTTTGTGCAGAAACGTGTTTCAGTGAAGCTGAAACAAACACGTCTCCTGAATGTTTCTGGTTTCCTTGAGCACCGTAACTTTTTTTTTTTTCCTCCCAAGCTTGATAATTTTTATTGACAAATTTCTGGGGTTTTACTTACGATCCTGGTACAAGAGCTGTTATAACATCAATGAAAGGTCTCATTAATATTTTCTATGACACAATAACAGCCCCAGAGGAGTCATTACTCTCACTTTCCAGGCACTGGAGCTGTTACAGTGCCAATGAAGTGTTTCTCACGCTCCCACTGATGTGGTAATAGCTCCAGAGCTGTCATTCCATGTCATTCCAGGAGCCTGAGGGGTTGTGATGTCAGTGGAAGTGCCATTTTATTGCCTCTGTACCTGGTTATGCAAAATTCCATCGCTGATGAAATAAGAGATTTATTTTAATGTATTATTTTGATATACTATTTTGGATACTTAGTGTAAGGTTTGAGCATAAGTCTAAAAAGGAGAGAAATCCTCTGCAGCCTGGAGAAATCCCAGAATGGTTTGGGTTGGAAGGGCCCTTAAAGATCATCTCATTCCACCCCCTGCCAGGGGCAGGGACACCTTGGTTGCTCCAAGCCCTGTCCGACCTGGCCTTGAATACCAGGAAACCTTTTAAAACTGAAAAATCAAAATACTTGTGTTCATCAAAGCTCAGGGCTGTTTCTGTGTGTAATTTCTAGTAATAGAAACTATTTTGACTTGTGCTAAAATGGATCCTGAACATTGCCTCAGCTCAAATAATTCTGAGGAATTTATCTGTATGTCACCTAGATTTATTTTCTTTATAAGAGGTGGTGTGAGTTATTTGGTTGGGACAGGTATTATCATATATTCACTGTAAATTTGTTACTTTAACTTAACCCAGCAGTTGGTTATTGATTAAAACCCAATCCCAGCAAATGTTCACAAATAAAAGTATATGACATTAAAATAAGAAATGATGACTAAATTTTTCTTTGTAACACTCACAGAGGATTGAGGTCCATTATAAATAAATTTAAGGGAAATACAGGCTGCACAATTAAAAAGAGGCAATTTAAACATTTAATGTTTTATTAGTTCATATAAATGTTTTTACAATGTTTGTAGGCTGCTTTCATACAATGAAAGGCAGGTGGATAATTAATACAAGATTTTTTTTCGAAGAAGAAAAAATGTAATATCCTTTGACTAGATCTTTAAATGCACTAATTATTATCATTATCACTATTCAAACTTTTTATTCCCTGTACATGTGCACTTGGAAGCTATACTTACTGACTATATTTTTTTCTTTTTTATTGTACCTTTCAAAAGTTTTAATATCCTAATCATTGGTTAGAATTAGTCTGTTACTATTGAAAAAAAACATAGCCTGACATCAGCAAGGATGAAAACATCTTTATTTCTTAGTTTTCATGTTTCAAATGCATCTTTTAAGCACTTTGTTAATGCAGTGCAAGTTCTGCTTTTTCTGTTCTGTTAAAGGCAGTGAGATGTGTCTGTTAAGCAGAGAGAAAAAGGTGTTCTTCATTTTCTTATTCTCACATTAATAGATGGTGAGGGAGGAAGTTATCAATGATCCCAGGATTGTAGATCAGCTACTTGTACAAAACCACAGTCCTTTCAGTTCACTAAAGTGACCCAGGTCAGGAAGTTTTAGGTGTTAGTCATTTCTTACAGGTCTTTTTGGCCTCTCTACCCTTAATTGACAGGTAAACCCAACCCAGGGATTGTGTTTTTCAATGAACCAGTGAGTCTGGATTGTGGAGGGAGGCAACCTGTGTGTTTTCACTTGCATTCCTGTAATGTAATGCACAACTGGATATGTAATTAAAAATATACATAATGACATATAGTCTAAAATATGGCATTTCCCTTAGTGGTGAACTTTTGCCTGTATTTAATACAACATCATATTTTTTTCCTGGCAAACCAACTTTGCATTATGAAACACAGCCTCAGAGGGAAGAGCCTTAGAAGTTTTGGTAGCTAAAAATTGCAGCATTTGCAGTTCAATACTTAGGAAATGCACAGCATTTCTTGACCTCAATTTATTTTCCTTTTTTAATTCATTTCTGTCTGAATGTCTATATTACCAATGGCAGTTACCCCCCAGTGCTGGAGGCAGTGAGGGTGCTATTTAATTTTTTTCATGTTGTCCCTCATTATTATTCCACTATATTTGTACTAATTGATTGGGGATATTGGGCTTTCCAAATTGTCAGTCAAACAATTTAGAATTTAGGCATTCTCCTGTTTTCTTTGCGCATCAGGCTTCAGTTATTTTGCAGGACTAAAAAAGTACTGGCTTTTGCCATCTGCTCTCAGAAATCCTGGGGTAGGAATGCCCAAATGAAACAACCCTGTTCATACAGGAAAAACTCCCTGCTATCCCTGGAAGCAGACCCTCTAGACCCTTTTCTTCACAGCTTGCACCAAGTCTTGCCCAGCATTACTTTGGTGTTTTACTGCTACGTGTTTGTATCTTCTGCTGAAATATTTGTGATAACAGCAGTAGACTTTGACAGTGCACAAACCACAGTGACACTGCAGTCTGCAAATCTGGGCAGTTAGGGGTTAAAGTAGCCTGTTTTAAAAATATATGTTAAAAAGAAGTGACAAATTCTTAGAGGATAAATTACTGTATTTCCTCACACTCGAACACAAGAACTACTTTGACTCCATTGTAACTCAGTCACGGAGCTTTAGGGGGTGAAGAACCTGGCAGTGGTAGTGGCTCTGTTTTCTTTGTTATCTAAATAATCAACATTAATGTGTTAATTATAATACACTAATAATGTAAAAATACAATATATGTAATAATACAATACGT